TTTGAGTTTCTTGTGATTAAATCAATCTCCTTCATTGTATTAGCTCACTTTTTCCAGTTCAATCAACTTAAAATTTCAAGGCTTTTTTAAGTTAAACCAACAATATTTTTTTTACAGTGTGTTCGAATCTTAACTTATCCTGTAACAGTTTTTCACTGGATCATGCTTGAATCAAATCATAAAATACAATGCAATGAATAAATCTGCCCCATAGAGCATTGGAAAAGAATGAGATTGATTGAAGATTCACAACACTTTCAAACTTTTAAACATTTCAAAAGTACAGTCATTGCAAAATTGCAAAATGTGTCCACTCGAATTGAGCAATCTATTGAACTGGAACAATACGTCGCAGAAGTGTATGACACAAAGTATTCAACAGTCTACTTTTTATTTTTATTTTCTCTTATGGCCTAGATGATCCTCCTCATGTCACATTACATAAAACAAACAAACCTGGATGTCATTTACTGGATCTTACTTACTAGACTTTTGGTAAACACAGAGTTGTTAAACTCAAAGGTCTTTATTTGCGAATGGCTGTCATGTGATCACAGATTCTTGGCAAAGAATGTGCAAAACAATTTCCTTTTTCAAGAAATATTGCAAAAAAAAGTTTTTAACCTTCAGAAATTTTTGACTGTGAACATAAATGTTAAACTAAATATTATAAGGTGGTATAAATAATTATATATTAAAAAGACATGTCTATATGCTAAAAACCATGAATTGAATAGATTATTTAAAATCAATAAGCATTAGCCTACATAAAAAATAAATTAACAAAATTCATAGGATATGAAACGTTTCAGGTTACGTTTGTAACCATGGTTCCCTGAGAGCGAACGAGACGCTGCATCCAGACGCCGTGAAGCATGTGTATAATCAGACCAATGGAGAGATGACACGTCATAGGTGGGTGACGTCATCGACCAGGGAACTGTTTTGAGAGATGTACTGCCGGAGGTACCTACTATCACCTTTAAACGAGCCCCTACTCTAAAAGATAGTCTTGTGAAAAGCTATATGCCTCCTGTACATAATAAAACCTGGCTAGGCACAAAAACAGGCAACCACAGTAACTACAGTAAGCGTAAACTTAAAGAAAGATCAGCAGAACATAACAGCCTGGTCTCATTGTTAATACGTAGGTATTTTACGTTTTTGCAAAGATAGAAAACGTACTTTTTAGTACGTTTGGATAGATGCTGAAACGTATAATATAGACGTATCTGCAACATTTAAACGAAACATTATTACGTTTTTACAGCTACAAAACGTAAACTATTTACGTATATTCTATATCATAAAGATATCTGTATAATTTTCCTTTTTACCATTTTATAGATTAATGTAAGATCCCGTAACCCTAATCCCAAACCTAAACATAACAGTTACCCATTTTATACTTCATATAAAAAAGGATAAAATGTAACGGACAGGTGTTGGGAAAGGACAGTTTTATTAACAATATAGCATTAAAATATATTTTGAGCCACCAATCCTACTCCTACACCTAAACCTACCCATAACAATTCCCAGCCCATTCTCACCTAACTGACGCCTTGGGAAGCATTTGGACATGCTTCAATATCTGACGCTTTAGGCGCCCTTTAGCGTCAGTTAGATGACGCCCTAGGATCGCGTGTACCCTACCCCCACCCCACACCTAAACCTAACCGCGTCATCTAACTACCCCTACCCCTGAACTAGTCCGATCCCTCCTCCAGACATTTTCTGTTTTTCTTCTCCTCTGTGTTGTTCTGTGTTGCTTTTAACAAAACTAAACCAAAGAGTGCCTTTTTTTATTGTGAATGTCCATGGAAAGTCTTCAACATCTGTCCATGTCTCTGGTTGAGATTGGAAGCAGCTATTTCTTACTAAAAATGCTGATCATCTTGAATATTTTTTTCTTCAATATTTGTTATAATACTTTTGAGATGATAGTGTTGCAGAAGCTGATAGATGACAGATGTTCTTCTCATGAAACTGTGTTTACAGTTTCAAATTGTGATTCCAGAACAAAAGGATGTTAGCAATTGAAAAAAAAGTCAGTTAATGTAATTTCCATGCACATTTTAAACATGTTGCTTTTATCATTTAGTTTTAGTTGCAAGAATTCAAAACATAGAAACTGACTTGGGGAAAGGGGTTTTATTTTGATTTGCTCCATTTGTTTTTTATTAGTAGTACAGCTGATGCTTTAGTTCACTGAGGTTTTGTTCTCCCTGTCACACACACACAGGTAAATCCATCACTCCATCATTACAGTATTGTATTAGGTTACTGTCACTGCCTATTAAACGTTTGCCCCACAGACATGCAAAGGTGATTCTGTCCAGATGTGGTGAGAATATCTTTTCTCGTCCACGATATCGCAGCTGTATACCTCTGTCGTCCATTTCCTCCACCGTCACTGAACAAGGCTCTGAAACAAACACAACATCTCACTGTCACTGTTACAAATAATAATTATAATATAGTAAGAAAAGCCTAATCTGTCATTAATGTTTAGAGTTTTCATACTTACTTAAACACTTGATGTTCCCTCTCCATTCGCCTTGTTCACAGGTCAAGTATTTAGAGTAGGGGGGACTCAGATCCAGTGTGTATTTATTAAAGCAGATGTATTCAACTTTCTCCCTTGAATTATATTCAGATTTAGTCATTTCAGTTGTATCTGCAAACTCTACTGGTGGTGGTCGCTCACATTTCTCTGAGGGCAAAGCAAAGTTATTTTTAGACTATTTTAAGATGACCAAGAAAATGTGGCTCGTCATTAAACTTGCCATTAATAATGCACATTATTTTTCAACGCATTCTCACCCCAAGGCGTCACCTTTGACCATGCTTCAATATTTGACGTTTTAGGCGCCCTTTAGCGTCACTTACATGACGCGATCCTACGGCGTCATCTAACCGACGCTAAAGGAAAGCGTCAGTTAGAGGACGCGGTTAGGTTTAGGTGTGGGGTGGGGGTAGGGTACACGCGATCCTAGGGCGTCATCTAACTGACGCTAAAGGGCGCCTAAAGCGTCAGATATTGAAGCATGTCCAAATGCTTCCCAAGGCGTCAGTTAGGTGACGCTTTGGGAGTGAGAATGGGCTGTATTTTTATGATAATTTGTGGTATTTTTTCTTAAATACTTTAAAATACCTTTCTGTATCAAAGAGATATGTTTTTTTTGTATGTAATAAATTATAACTAGATGTAAATTGATGTGCATTTATCCATGTTAAGCTCACTGCAACGGTGCTAGTTTGTAGCTGTTTCTAGGTTATTCTGGATGATTGCTGAGACATTTTCTTGGCCCAAGTCAAGAGAGACCTTGTGATGATAAATTACGTATCAAAGATGAGCATTTACTATTGAGATGCTTGCAAACCCTGCTAACAAAACTTGACTAGTGAACAAGTAAACCTTTCTATGTGTAGAAAATATATTTCCTTATATAGCTGATCAATATAATAAACGATTTAATGGCACATTTGAAAATATACAGAATAATATATTGTGCTAAAATTTTACACACGGAATTGCTGCTTTTAATATATTTAAAAATATCTGACAATATATTTACTAATATATCATAATGTATTTAATTTTATTTTCAGCAATACACTTCATAATATATAGACGTAAGATTTGGTACTGCATGTGTATAAATATATTGCTGATATTTACTCATGCAGAAGAAATAGAGAAATACTGTATATCATGTCATATATTTCTTATATTTTATAATTAGAAATAATTTATAATAATTATTTACAATGTTTCATATTTTCACACACCTGCATGTACTAAAGTATTTAGCAAAGACAATATCACTGTACTGAAGAGCCATTACCTTTTTAATATAGTAACATATAGGGCCCTATCATACACCCAACGGATTCTCATCCTAGGGCGTCACATAGGTGACGCTTTTGACATTGCGTCTAAATCCGACGCACATGGCACCCTTTAGCGTCGCTATAACACGCTTCGGTTACGGGTAGGTTTAGGTCTGGGGTAGTGTTAGGGTTAGACCACTAGGAGGCGCCTTCTGGCCCATATATATCTTCGTCTCATATTGACTCTAAAGGGTGCAATGTGCGTCAGATGTAGATGCAATGTCAAAAGCGTCACCTATATGACGCCTTGGGTATGAGACCTGATACACCTGGTCCAACGTGGCGCCAGGGGCGACACAAATGTCTTTTGTCAATTTCAGCCTGACGCAGTTATCATTTTTATGTCCTGCACCACATTGTTTAAATAGCAAATTAATTTGGACCCATTTGTGCGCCCATGGGCGTGCTGGTCTGAAAACGAAGTGCATTGCTATTTTGAGGCAACTGAAATAAACGGCGCCATTTATCGACTAAAGTCAATGGCTTTGATTTAGTTAGTTATAAGGATAAGGACATGGTGGAAAACGTTTTTTTTTTTTTTTTTTTTTTTTTTTCTCCTGTAGATGGTCTCCTCGCGCATGAGCAGATCCATTTTCTCTCTGGAAAAGCGTTTAGTTTTTCCACTCACAAATTTCACCACCTAAATAGCATATCTGCCAACTGGCAGTGGCTTTTAAAGAGAATGTTAGATGAGACTATGATTGGTTTATTGCATGTTACTCCCAAAACTCACCCATTACTCATTAAAAGAATTGGGACAACCCTTTCAGACCATGCGCTGAATGGACTTGGACACAAAATCTGCTGTAACTCGTTCCGTGAATGTGTGTACGTCATACATACATTCACATTTATATGGGAACATTTATATTATATTTGTATGTGCAATATGTGTACACAGTAAACGATAAAACTTTATGAATATTACATGTAATGCTATTTTTGCATTAATTTCTAAATATTTTATATGTATGGTCAATGCATATATTGCAGTATGCGGAAACATATTAGCACTGCTATATTTGGAAATCTATTATGTAATTAATTGCATTATATTTTGCAGAAGGCTATATTTCCATATATTTATGTTCCATAAGGGTTACCTCCAACACATTTAGGAAACGGGACGTTCCATTCTCCACTTGACAAGCAGGTGATTTTACTCTGTCCTTGTAATTTTGTTCGCCTCCCAACACATGAAAGAGTTACTGTGTGTCCAGGTCTGATTGAAACCTCAGGCCCCAGGCGTCCGTCCGCAGTGAGGTCTGATCTCATGTTTGCTGGCAGTTTTGCGACACACTTTACCTCTAAAGAATAGAAAGATCTGATAAATTAAGCATCCTCCATGTGAATAACAGATCTATCATTGATCTATTTTTGTCCAATCCAATGATTTTACCATATGTGGTCTTACCTTCACATTTAGGGAAAGGGCTGCTCCATTCTCCATTTGATTGACAGATGATTTCTTTCTGTCCTTTTAATTTCATCCCTTGTCCAATGCATGAAAATGTTAACTTGTGTCCCGATTTGACTGAACCCTCAATTTCAGGGAATCCATTGAGTTTTAAGTCTTCCATAGTTGTATTGATAGGACAGGATGCCTCTAAAGAAAACAGACAAATTTGATCACATACATTTATCCAGAGATAAGCTCTAATACTTTATGTGGCTGAATGTTTAAGAGTAACCAAAAGTTATTTGCAATAAGTAGTGGTTTAACATAACAATTACATTTTTGTCATTTGATATTGCACAACTAGCGCTACAGAAACTGTGCTAAAAATTGAGCATACATCTATCCCTAACAATCTTATGAAAAATTCAACATGATGCATATCCTCCTGACTAAAGTCAGTTTGCTCGTGAGAGATTTGTGATATAAATAAACAAATAAAACTAATTGTTCAACTTAATTCACCATCAGTCCCAGCTGATGTTTGTCACATAGCTAGTCAATTTTTACCATTATGTAAGTAAATGTGTTTTTTTGATTAATTAAATTATAAGTGACTCTTGTGCAGAACTTTTCACCTCATTTTTCATTTTCACAGATTCACCGTCTTTCTGGAATTTCATTGAAAATCTCAATTCGCTTGAATCTCGGAATTTCTTTTTATTCATACTCGTATCTTTCTCAAAAAACAAACAAAAAACAAAACGTGGCGAGAGACTGTGGAGTTAGATTCATTATATTAAATTATCCTCATTAATAGCTTCAGATGTGTCTAGTGTCCCTACATTATTTAAAGAGTTGCTGTCATAATTTTATTTTGCGATTTGACTGAGGATTAATGCGACCATTTTTAAATCACTCAATCCCTTTCAGAAGTTGGACAACTTTAAAAAAAAGTAAGGAATATCACACAATAGTACTTTCATATAAAAACACTATTTTGATTTTGATTCTAGAGAGCATTTGATTGGACGCAAAACGTCTCAGTTACATATGGTAACCCTCAACACATTCTCACCCCAAGGCGTCACCTTTGACCATGCTTCAATATTTGACGTTTTAGGCGCCCTTTCAATATTTGACGTTTTAGGCGCCCTTATGAAAAATTCAACATGATGCATATCCTCCAGCTAAAGGAAAGCGTCAGTTAGAGGACGCGGTTAGGTTAAGGTCTGGGGTGGGGGTAGGGTACACACGATCCTAGGGCGTCATCTAACTGACGCTAAAGGGCGCCTAAAGCGTCAGATATTGAAGCATGGTCAAATGCTTCCCAAGGCGTCAGTTAGGTGACGCCTTGGGGGTGAGAATGGGCTGTAACCCTCGTTCCCTGAAGGAGGGAACGGATACGTACGTCATGACCGACAAATAGGAATCTCGCTAGAGAGGCCAATCTACTTTGAGTGAAGCTTAAACAAGCCAATACACATTGGTGTGCAATCATTTGCATCAGCTGCTCAGCCTTGCAGCACTGAACAGCAGGTGCGATTGCACTTCAGTTTTTTGCTGAGGAGCAAAGCCTGCAAATCTGGCCACCCCAGTGGGCAGCAGAAGATGTAGCGATGGGACATAAGTCTGCTTTCCCTCCTTCAGGGAACAAGGGTTACAATATGTAACCGAGAATTTGTGACCGACAAATAGGAATCCCTACCAAAGCACCACAGCTGCTGCACCCCATCCTGCACCCTGTGCAACCTTCATTTTTGCCTTGAAGAACAATAGGAGGAGGCTTACACAGTGTGTATCTGTCACTGTTGTTCTGTCATAACCCATACAGTGAGAATATCGGATAACACTGGGAAAGCGTGCCCTTCTTGTTAGGAAGGAGAATGCTGTGGAAGCCACTTCCTTCAAGGAGACATGAGTGTTCCCTCGGTCAGGGAGTAGCGGCCTTTTCAAGTGGCCCAGGGCGAGACATACTGCTAGCAACTCGAGGCAGCTGATGTGCCAATGCAGTTGGGGGTCGGTCCATACCCCTGAAACTGCATGCCCGTTGTACGTGTCACGCCAGCCGGTGGCAGAGGCATCTTTGAATACCATAGCATGCCTGGACACCTGTTCCAAGGGGACTCCTGCCCGCAGGAATGAGGGATCTGAACACGGGCTTAAGGTCTGGTGGCACGCCGGTGTGATTGCCACCTGGTGAGTGCCATGCCCATCTCGGGACTTGGCCGTGAAGCCAGTGCTGAAGCGATCTCATATGTAGCAGCCCTGTTGCCACTGCCATATGCTATAGGAACCTCTGAAAGAAATGAAGCCAGCGCAAGTTCAACCAGGAAGACTCAATCGTTCACGTCATGAATTATCTTCTCATTTATCCAATCATATCCTAATAGTCAGTATAAAAGGGTGGCTTATACATGTCTGAGTTCTCAGATGCTGTCGCTTCAACAACCTCCATCCTCCCCATCAACCACCAGACGGGACCTTTCCTTCATCTCCCTAACATTCATGTGCCCGGTCCTCCCCTCCATCCTTCCCACCACCTCCAGATGGGCTCTCCGATCTCTACCCCGAAGACGCCAGGACGTCCTCTCCTCCTTCCACCCCACCACCACCAGATGGCACCCTTCCTTACTTCGCAGGGGGTGGGCTGCGCCCCTGCCTTCGTCTTCAGGCAGGATATGCAGATTCCGTACCCTCGGACTGCGAATTACGGATGGGGCCTATGCCAAAGAATTTAGTTGTTTGCTGAGCTCAAATAAATCTTCATCGTCACAGTATTAATTCTCCTGGTAGAGTTTCAGTGGGGCCGCCATCCTGCCTTTGAACATGTTCAAGCAGTTCAGCACCGACTGATTGCGTTCCTCTGTGAGGCGCACTGTGCACCCAAATACAACTCCATTCTGAGAAAAGAGATCCTTTGCATGGGGGCAAGTTTGCTCTTTTACCAGTTGACCTGAAGGCTCAGCTGGCTGAGGTGCCAGAACTGGAGGTCCCTGTGTTCACAAGAGTGTGCAAGTATGAGCCAGTCGTCAAGATAGTTGAGGATGCGCACACCCTGTTTTCTCATGAGAACAAAGGCCCCCTCCATGACTTTCGTGAAGACACAGGGAGACAGGGACAGTCCAAAGAGCAGGACCTTGTACTGATATGCTCAACCCTCGAACGCAAAACGCAGCAACGGCCTGTGTCAAGGAATAATCGAGACATGAAAGTATGCGTCCTTCAGGTTGATCGCTGCAAACCAATCTCGGGGACGGGTGTATTCGAAAAATGCGTTTCTGAGTGAGTATTTTGAACAGTAGTTTGTGAAGACTCTGATTTATAACTCGCCCGTCCTAGGGCTGCTTACCCATGGCTTTGCCATTCTTCTTGGTGAAGGCCTGGACGGGCAGGCCAGCATGCCTGCATGGCCCACCGCGGCATTTAGGTGGAGTCTGCTGCTGCGGCACGGGGGTAGGGGCAGAAGCCGGAGCACGAGCAGAGTGAGGGGCCGCGGGTGGTGGGGTGGACGCAGCATCTGACTGCCGTGGCAGGATGTCTGCTTTTGTACAGCCGAGAACTGCTGGGCAAAGTTTTCAACCGCGTCACCGAGGAGGCCATTCTGGGACTCCCCTGAGTTAAGGAACCAGAGCTTGTCGGTCTCCCTCATGTCGGCCACCGACTGCATGACCCAACGGAAATGACTGGTATACACCTCGAGTTGCGAGGTTTAGCAGCTGATGCAAATGACTGCACGCCAATGTGAATTAGCTTGTTTTAGTTTTACTCGAAGTAGATTGGCCTCTCTAGCAAGATTCCTATTCGTCAGTAGGGAACTGTCAACGCATTCTCATCCCAAAGCGCGATATACAACGCTTTTGCAAAAGCGTAAATATCCAACGCACATGGCACCCTTGAACGTCTAATGAGACGCTTCGGTTATGGTTAAGTTTAGGTATGGTGTAGGGTAAGGGTTAGACCACTAGGGGGCGCCTTCTGCCCAAATATATCTGCGTCTCATTTGACGTTAAAGGGTGCCATGTGCGTTGGATATTTACGTTTTTGCAAAAGCGTCCTATATGGCGCTTTGGGATGAGAACGGGCTCGAACTGTGTAGCGCAGGACGAGTCATCCAGCATACACCAGCGAAAACTGATAATGTTTAACACTGCAATACAACAATATCTACAATATCTAATAGTCTCTCTTCATTTTCACATGCAATATTTTTTATTTTATTTTATTATTAATCTATAGGAAGTTTTAAAAGTCCGTTAACATTACCAATCAAAATCTTACCTTCACATGTTGGTGTTTCTTCCCAATTTCCATTGCGGCAGAAAACTCTACTTGTCCCAATCATTAAGAATGAGCTTCGGCATGCGTATGTTACACTAGATTCATCTACATACAATTCTTCAGGTTTAGATGTTATGAATGCATTTTCCACCTTTGGAGGAATATCACAATGCGCACCCACTAAAAAAGATAAATAATATAAATTCATCAACTCCAATCACACTGAGATTAACACTGTCAATACATTATGTTGTCAACTATATGCTGAAGCGGCTCCTTAAAAAATATAATAAGAGTTTGAGAAGCTCACCCTTACACACTGGTTTCTCCCATGTACCATTGATACATGTTATTGAGTGTGGAGTTGATATGAACCCTGGATCACATTCAAATGCTGTTGATGCTCCATCACGAAATGGCTTTTTTGTTTGCTTTAGTTTTCCATGGTGAACACTGGGAAAAGCACCACATTCATCCTCCGCTGTAAAGACAGAAAACAGGAAACACATTTCAGTACACTATCATTCGTCTAACACCCGAGACTGACAATAATAAACTCACGGATGCACCGAGTTTCGTCAGACCAAGAGCCTTTGTTGCATGTTGCTGAATCCCACCAGTTCCCAGAGAATGGTTTATAACCCGTGTTGCAGGAGTAATATATTTCTTCCTTATTGGAGGGGATGCTGTATGTGAACCCATTTTCCACGGATAGATCACGGCACGAGTTCTGCTTTGCTGTGAGAAAATAGTTTAAAAACTTTAAAATTCTGATCTCATATATGTTTTTGAGTCGACATTATGCATTTGTATAATTATTTGATTGGATATTGAAAATGTTCAAGCACTTACCTTGACATTGGCAACAATTTAAGAAAAACAACCAATAGACGAAGCCGAGGAGTTTTACAGGAACTCTCATTTTGAGCTCAATTCACAAGTGCCTTTTTTTGGTCTGTCTCTGATACTCTTGTCTGCTTTGGGATCAACAAGTTAATCATTTATCAGAGTCAAAGTGAGGTTTTTCCTACACCAGATCACTCACAAAAAAACAAAAAAAAACAACATATCTGATGTAGCAATTTGTATTTGTCATTTAGAGACACCAAAAGACAATTTACTTTACAGAAGTAAGACTTATTGAGTCATAGTTATGCAACATATGAATAGGAACCAAAGGGCAGGTTCCAGAATAATTGCCATGTTCGAATCTGACTTTACTTAATGTTTGCAATGTTTTTCACTGAAACATGTTCTTTTTGAATCAAATCATAAAGTACATTATGTGGTGGATGAATATGTCCCATAGAGCATTAGAAAAGAGTGAGATTTAAGAAGATTCACAACACTTTTGAACATTGCAAAATGTGTCCATTAAAGTTGAGCAATCTATTGAACTTGCAAAAAAAAAAAAAAAAAAAAAAAAAAAAAAGGGAGGCAGAAGAAGAGTTTGACCCTTAAAATATTGGCCTGTACTTAAATTGTTGTCTCTTAGAAAACACTGAAAAAAAAAAAAAAAGTTGGAAAAGCTGGATGTCATTTACTGGATCTTACAGTGTTAACTTTTGTTAAACTCAAAGGTCTTTCACTTTATTTACAAATGGTTGTCATATGATAACAAATTCTTGGCACATTCAATGAATATGTTCGAAACAGGGCTTGGAACTCTTTGAGAAATGCATTTTTTATAGTAAGTAAAAAAGGAGTGCTTATCCTTCAGAAAATGCTTTTCACTATATCCATACTATATGGAGGTTTATTTTTTTGAGATTTGCAAAAAAATTGCAACCATATACCAAACTTGAGATATGTCTAAATATTAAGCCCCCAAATTTGATTATTATATAACAGTAAGCATAGCATAACATCAAATTTAAACAGACAAAATAAGATTAAAAAAAGAGTTTTGAAACAAATTTTAATTTATACAGTAGCAACCGCTAAACTTATTTTAATTTTTAATCTTATTGTTTTGTTTGATTATTTATTTCATAAAAGCATCTCCCGAAGTTTCATTGTACAGTTTATTGCTAGTATATCTCAGTCTCTCAAAGTTGCAGAACAGGTTTCTTAATAGTTTTCACTGGTCTTGGCTCCTAAGCAGTCTAGCAATTCAAAATCTGCCAATCCATGCGATTCATCTTGTGGTAACGCTTCCTTTTACAGTACAGTACTTACAGTATTAGAAAGTACTGGCTAATATAGGGTTAGTACGAGTTATTACCCAGTAATTGTAGTTACTAAGATAAGTACATAGTATTTACATGGGTAACTGGACTGTAAAAGGAAGCGTTACCCATTTTGTCCTATTTGTTTATCACTAGCTTATTCTTCTACTAACTTGCGTTGTAGCCTAAGATTCAGTTGGTGTCATCATTGCACAGTGTCGTTCCCAAGTTTAGATCTATATCATACAATGTGATTTTGAAATTATCTTATAGGATTGCTTGTAGCATGCACATGACTCTCTAGGCCTACTCACATGGTGTTTTTTAAAGGAACATGACCTGTTAACCTTGCTGTTTTCCATGGGTTCTCCTGCACGTTAAGTACTTTGAGATTCCTTTTGAGCTTCTTGGACGCCTTATTTGTCTATAGGCTACTTAGTAAGTATACTTACTAGTTTACTATTTTCACAGACTTAAGAGTGGATCTGTATTGCTCCAATGTGAAATCTGATGATTAATCCTGTGATGAATCACTCAAAGCACCTGTTTGGGTCTTTGTTTGATGAATAAACTTGTGCACTTGAGTTATTTCTTTCTCTGTCTGTGGTCAATATCATTACAAAAGCAAATGTAAAATTTTTTAAACGCCCCCTCAAAATAATGGGTAATGGGAATTCCTTGATCAATTGCACCACCAAGTGGTCCCTATGTGAAGTTTAAATTTATGATTGTACTATTAAAATAGACACCATGCATTTCCGGTGTATTGACCATGACGGACAAAAAGATTGTCCGAAATTTGTTTCTAAGACACAGTTATTAACCAACCAAACTCTGAACCATGGGTATTTATATGTAAAAAAAGTTAATTCTGTACATGCACTCTGGGATGCCACGTGTATTAGTATTTATAAATGAGATTCATTTAGATAATGTACCTTTCACATCAGTGTTTTGACTCTGAAACCCCAACTTCAGAATCAGCACATCAACAGAAGTAAAACAAGTAATATACTATTTTATTAGGAAGGCCAAGTTAGCTCAAAAGGAATTATCAATTAATGTATAGGGAATCTTTACTCATCCAGTGTTCATTCGAACAGGCCGTAACTATAACCTATGTAGCGGATATAAATATTCAAACTGTAGTGAAACACTAGCAAGATAACTTAGATCAGCAGTATAAGACATTGAATCTGTATAAGCACATACAACTAATATCTAACACAATCAAATGCACACACATTTATACGAGTTGCAGAAAGAAAGAGAGTGAGGAAAGGATGAGTTTTAAGAGTGAGATATGGTGAAATCCCAAGTTTCTATATGCACTTATACTGTAAGACATGACCTGAACCAACCACCAATCATTCATTTAACCCTTCTATCGTTTCTTAGGCGGGTTATTCAATTTTATTTCAATGCACCAGTTCAGTTAAGTTCAGTCTGGAGTGCTACTTGCTTGTCCTTCCGTTGCTTTGGTCGGCATCCTTGCCCGGGTCCTTTGCTTGGCTGACGGTCTTCTCGTGCCTGGATAGATCACGTGGTGAAACTTTGCAGCAAAACTTAACTTATAATCGAGACTCTCAACGGAAAAGAAAAATGAAGCTAAGAACAAAAAGAAAAGTGAGACGTGAGAGGTATATAGCTTGAATGGAAGTTGTTTGAACCCATGTTCTTGTGTTGTGATCTTGTTTGGTTTTTTGGTTTTCTGCTGGTCTACATGGTTACTGGTCTGTCTGGTTACTCTGTCATGGCTCTAGCATGATGGCATAACGTAACTCCAGCATAACTCCCGCATAACTTTAGCACAACTAACTCAGGCTTTGTTCGAGTCTAAGTTTTTTAACTCAAATGTTTGTCCAGCCTCCTGGATGGGTTCTGACCAATTAGACACTGTCGTTATTTCAGAGGTGGTATTTCCTTCAGCTCTCATCGTAAATCATGTGTTATCTGTGATCCCCTTACTCTCCAGCTTTAGCAGAGAGAGTACAGAGAATACATGTTAGACATTTTAGACTACTATAAGAACACAAAACATTTTACACAGATTTCACTCAAGCCATTTTCTGAATTAAGAATCTTACTGATAGGAAACACAATACACTTTCATTCACACATCTAATAGTTATAACAATTATATGACTTATGATCTAAGCATAATAGACACATACAGGGGTTGTAGACACAATATACAGAATTCTGGAGATCGTAAATCTTCCACCGCCATGCAGAACAACTCTTCGATAGGGTTTAGAAATTGAGAGTATGGTGTGTAGTGAACTTTTTCTTCCAAAGTGGAGAAAAATCCGAAGCACAGACCAGGAGACGTTGAGGTATTTTTCATGCAGAAATTCTTTATTGCGTCGCTGCAGTCATCTCAAAAATCGTCTATAACTAAAACTAAAATACAGAACTGTTCTTATACGTTTCAAGGGGGAGGAATTACATTGAGGAGGGGACTCTTGAAACAAAGCAAATGTAAATGCAAGATTCAGCTGGTTACTGGAAATTCCTCAGCCCTGATATCATCAGCATAGCAGTTATTCGGGAGCCTGACTAGACTGGTCAAACCTTTACAGTCTCAGTAGCCATTAAGAGTTTCAGCAATCTGAAAGCAGTATTAGCCAGAAATCACCCCCCTCCTCACCTTTTAATATCATTTAATAAATGTGTATTCCTTCTGTTGTTTTAAATGTATAATGTAGAGAACTGTTTAGAGTTCTTACAAATGCAAACTGAGTATAAAGCATATAGTGTGTTTGCAGTTTTGCAGACTTGGTCTGAAGATCTGGTACATGAGGTACATGTCCAGTGGCCACTGCCTTTTGGGGGTATCCTCGTCTCCCCTCTGAGTTCTCGTCCGTTCTGACGGGAAGAGCTTACAAAGCCAGCACTTGTCCACTTAGGTGTTGAGCTCTTTTAAATGAGTGTGTGCTCCCACATAGGCGTTGACACAGAGTGACATTAAATGACATTGCCTGTAAGAGTTTACATACCTTGATGTGTGCTATGACATCAGTATAGCTTATTAGAGACAAAATTCCTTTTACGCTATTAAACGCATATTACAATCAAATTGAATTTGAAAAGACAGCACAGTAATAGTTTAAATGTTAAGCTTTATTCTGAAGCGGTTACAGTTTTTGAACTATGGCTCCATTTCTCAAAACACCACAAAACACACACAATAAGCAAAACATAGGAGTTTGTCTAATGTGCACAAATACACTGTGTATAATTCCTCAGTTACGTATATAGTGTATATGGAACTGAGCTGAATCAACGCTGAATAATGACTATTTGTTTGTTAGAGATGCGTTACAGCAGAATTAGAATTTGTCACTATTGTGAAGCTGCTGCGAAACGATATAATTAAAGCGCTTTAGAAATAAAGTTGACTTTTTGACTGGCTTGCATATGTGATGAATGTATGTAAAAGTGTTTTCACACATGATCATTGTGTAATCGGGAAATGATTGTGGCATTTAAATGGCAGTGTTTTCTAAATGAGTTGATTTAAATGATGTGTGTAGAGCATGTAGAGAACTGTTTAGAGTTCTTACAAATGCAAACTGCGTGTAGACTTGGTCTGAAGATCCGGTACATGAGTGAATGGAAGTGTGACTTTAAGTCACACTTCAGTGTGTAAGGAATAAAAAAACAAATATGTAACATCTTTCATATTACTGTGAGCAAGTAAATTGAAGCATCAAGCAAGTGTGTGTTACACTGCAGCAGTGTGTCTGTCCATCTTCATTCAGATCTGTGGGATGATAATAAATGCAGTTACTTGTGGACATTACTGTTGATTTTAATCAGTTTACACTTCATTACAGGATCTTCATCCCATTCTACTTTTTCACTGCAAAATAAACTCTGAAAGCAGAACATTTTTGTAAAATCAAATGTAGCTACTACATTATCAAATTGTTTCATAGTTTTTACCTCAGTGTTTTACTCCAACTTTCTTTCAATTTATGTTTTACTGACCTGAAGAAAAAAGAAACAAAAAATAATATCAATAAAAAAGGGTTACATTTTTAAACAATTCAGTAAGAATGCGTTAAATTGACCAAAAGTGACAGTAAAGAGATTTCTAAGGGTACAAAACATTTTCTATTTTAAATAAACTCTGATATTTTGAACTTTCTCTTTAGTTTAGCTGTCCGTAATATAAAACATAAAAACCTCAACAGAAGTAGAATTCATTATTATCAGGATGATGAAGATTGATTGAAAACTTTCTTAATCCCGATAGGGAAACTGGTTTGCCACCAACCATCAAACACAATACACAACTAACAGACAGATAAATAATTCTGCATTGAGACTAATAAGCCCTGATTAGGTGATCCAATTTGAGAAAAAGATTTAATTCCATAGTTAAAAAATATACAAAATGAGCACTATAAAAGACAAGAATAATTTTCAACAATTAACAGTGTTTGTTAAAATATATGATAAAATACAGTACATTTAAGAACTTTGTGCTGATGTTTAATGATCTGAGTTTTCTCAAAAAAAAAAAAAAAAACAGTCTCGTCTGAGCCTTCTTCATTAGGACATTAGTGTTCTCTTCCCAGTTTAATTTTTCATCCAGATGGACACCTAAAATGTATAGGGCTGCACAATTTCGATCAACTTCTCTTTTTTCTTTCTAAAATCAATCCCAAGTTCTTTAGTCTTCCCTACATTCAGTTTCAAAAAGTTTGACTCACACCAGCTGTAAAAAGACTGAACCTCCGTTCTGTACGCAAGATCATCACCCTGATTAAGTAGACCCACTAAAGCAGTGTCATCGGAACATTTTTGGAACCAGCAAGATGGCTGACTATGCCTATAGTGTTGACTCAGCCAACAAAATACTGTAGAGTATTTAAAGTGAAATAACAATAAAGTAAAATAACAATATACAAAAATGAGCCTAGATCAGCTGCAAACCTGATGACATCAACTTATGTAAAATATGCCTAACATTTCAGCTCTGTTTTTTTCTACTCATTTAAAATTCTTTATTCACAATATGAATAATATCTTCAGTGTTAATAATTAAATAGTTATTAAAAAGTTAAAATAATTTTCTCAATCTGTAACATTAAACTGAGCATATGTACAAACTGAGTTATCATTGTGAAGATATATAATGACTTGAAAAAGTTATAGAATCTGTAAAATACATTATCATATCATACCATTTATCATACCAGTGCATTCCTGTATTCCTGTCCATTGACGCTGGGAAGTACAGGTGATTTGTACAGGCTGTTCTGGTTCAAACCCAGGATTACATTTATATTGTATTCTTGAATAGATGTTGTAAATTGTTCTCTGATCTCCCATAATCGCTGCATTTGGGATGTTTGGTGCTGCACACGTGTTTACTGTAAACAAATATCCATCATTAATTAGAATTCATAATTATGATAATGATTCATTTGCATAAACTGTAACATTAATATGAGCACATACCAGCACACAGTGGGTTTGGTGTCCATCCGTCTCGTGTGCATGTGGCCTCTGCTGACATTTTATCATATCCAGACGTGCAATAGTAAGATATTCTTGCTCCCAATTTCTTATCTCCACTGAAGTAAGATTCTGGGCTATACACATGCTGGTCACGTGGAACTTCACATCTAATTTCTGAAACAAGATTTACATTATTTTAATAACATGCAGTTCAGCAATAAATGCAGAAGTGTTTCTCTATAATCTTACCCGCACACGCAGGCTCATGATCCCACTGTCCATTCTCTCCACATGTAAATGATTGGATGATTTCTTTTGTTCGAAAGATCGAGTATCTTTCAGTGCAGGTGATCTCCACACTTTCTCCAGCTTTGAAAATAGTTTTCCCCTCCGGGTTGATCCTTTTTATTCCAAATCTGGTTGACTTAAGCTCACAAGTTACTTCTGTACAAGACATAATTATATAGAAATAAGAGTAAGAAGAGATGAAGCATCAAAAATTCATTTTTTTCAATATCTACAAAACAAAATTTGATCCCAAATTAGCCAGATTTAACTGTGGTATGTTAATTTAGGCTTAATTCTTTAAGAAAATATAGGCTATGTGGAAAGAGGCTGAGTTGAGTCAGATTCAATCTTTTAAATTGTACTCAATAGTTTTGGATAAATTCAGGTTTGTTCATTATAAACTTTCCTTAATAAGTTGCGTTAGTATTTTTAATTTTGCAAATTCACTGAGGATTAATGTGAACACTTTTGAAAGCCAATTGGCAAGCAGATGAGAAGACTGCTGGTTGTGAAGGACCTATCGTACAATTTCACTAAAACACTAATTTGATTCTTGAAAACATTTGGACGAAAAAACTGTTGCATTGGATTGTTGCTTATGTAGAATATGCCCAAAATTTCAGAGACAGATCACGACAAGATTTTTGCTTTACTGTGAGGAAATTATTTATGTTAAATCATTTGCACAAACTGTATCATTAATATTTGCACATACCAGCACACAGTGGGTTTGGTGTCCATCCGTCTCGTGTGCATGTGGCCTCTGCTGACATTTTATCATATCCAGGCATGCAAGCGTAAGATATTTTTTCTCCTAATTTCAGATCATTGAAGTAAACTTCTGGTGTAACCACACGCTGGTCATCTGGAACTTTACATCTAATTTCTGAAACAAGATTTACATTATTTTAATAACATGCAGTTCAGCAATAAATGCAGAAGTGTTTCTCTATAATCTTACCCGCACACACAGGCTCATGATCCCACTGTCCATTCTCTCCACATGTAAATGATTGGATGATTTCTTTTGTTCGAAAGATCCAGTATCTTTCAGTGCAGGTGATCTCCACACTTTCTCCAGCTCTGAAAATAGTTTTTCCCTCCGGGTTGATCCTTTTTACTCCAACTGTGGTTGACTTAAGCTCACAAGTTACTTCTGTACAAGACATAATCATGTAGAAATAAGGGTAAGAAGAGATGAAGTATCAAAAATATGTGGAACTGGATTTGCATGTTTGTTTTTGCAGGAAACAAATGATTCTGACAAATTAAAATAATCCTAAAATGGAAAAAAAGATGGCTCCCCATTAATAGAGTACAATTTGAATTTGAAGTCCCTAAATACTGTAAGTATTAAAGGCACATTTTCTATTTTAAGAACTTTTAGATATTTTTGCTGTTAAACTATTATCTGAAAATTAAGCAAGCAAGTAGAAAGTAGTTATTAGTAAGTAGTAAGTTGTCATTAGCTGATTTTGTAGTTACCAGATAATGCTTAGCACATGTTACCTCATGATTTTCCCCAATAAAAAATCAAACAAACAACCAGCCCGTTCTCATCCTTTAACGTCATATAGAACGCTATATGCAAAAACGGCGCTATACTACGCACATATGGCACCCTTTATCGTTAATATAACACGCGAACCCAAGACGTTATAAATCCTTTAGCGTAAATATGACCCGCACACCCTACCCCACACCTAAACTTAGCCCTCACAGCACGTGTTATATTAACGATAACGGGTGCCATGTACGTAGTATAGTGCCGTTTTGTTCATCCGGAGAGTCAAGGCGTAATCTATTTAATCTATTTTTATAATTATAAAATAGTTAATCTATTTTTATAATTTAGTATAGTTATGCTGCCAGTTTTTTTTTTTTTGCATAATGAAAGATATGGATAGGATTTCAGTATTATTTTCCATATGATTTGGGGACATTTGGGGACTCCCTCTCTAGGCTTGAACCCTGGTGAACATCTGTATTTTAATACGGCATCTTTCTGGTATTCTTGCTTTTTCTCAACAACATAACCATTTGATATATCTGGTGCTGTGCATGTTATCTCTGTGTGAAAAGCAAGGGAAAGAGGAGAAGTTAAATTGGTGTTTTGAATAAAGCTCTGAAATCTCTAATCATTTGGTGAAGACCAAAAAAAAAAAAATGAACAATGGAATGAACCTGAGGTGAGAATCATTCTAATCTACTTTCCCTCTATCCCCAGTGTCTCTCTCTCTCTCGTGGTGAGATCACCTAAAATTCATCCAAAATATATAAGGTTTTAATGTGAACCATTATCATACAGTTGCTGCAACACATTCTCACCCCAAGGCGTCACCTTTGACCATGCTTCAATATTTGACGCTTTAGGCGCCCTTTAGCGTCACTTACATGACGCGATCCTACGGCGTCATCTAACTGACGCTAAAGGAAAGCGTCAGTTAGAGGATGCGGTTAGGTTTAGGTCTGGGGTGGGGGTAGGGTAAGGGCGCTAAAGGGTGCCTAAAGCGTCAGATATTGAAGCATGGTCAAAATGCTTCCCAAGGCGTCAGTTAGGTGACACCTTGGGGGTGAGAATGGGCTGGTTTTATACATGTTTGGTATCATTTGAAGTCTATGCGACTGGTAAAAATGTCTCATTCAATGTAATAAAGTTCTTAAGAGTTTAGAAATCTCTTGCACACAGAAGGGTGTGTCTTTCAGGCAAATGGTCCCCTGCTCTCAGAAGGTGTAAACTGAGCAAATGTAGGTTTCATGTAAATCAGCGTCTGCCCCCAGTAGTCTGGAACAGTGATTAAGGTGAATTTCCACAGTGAACTCATGTTTACATTTGAAATGAGGTCTGTCTATGTAATGAAACACAACTAGAGTTCGGGCCCTTTCTGTACCTCAGATCAGCCCATGAACGCTGAGAGCCGCAGGGACTCTCAGCATCATGTATTTCCTAATGTCGGGTTCGTATCTCTTATTTGTTTATTCCAGAGCATTTAATGTTTGGTATTGATTATCTTTTATGAAATTACTGGACATAATAAATTGTAAACATTTGATTTTATTCTAATGGTCTCTGGCATTATTTTCATTAAAGAATCAAAAGGAATGGTCAAACATTCGCTTATATTTAATAATGCACATATCATCAAAACCTTTTTCATTTATGGAGTCAGATTAAATAACGAGTTAAAGGATTAGTTCACTTTAAAAAAAAAAAAAAAAAAAAAAACTTTTGCTGATAATTTACTCATCCCCATGTCATCCAAGATGTCCATGTCATTCTTTCTTCAGACGAAAAGAAATTAAGGTTTTTGATGAAAACATTCCAGGATTTTTCTCCATATAATGGACTTCAATGGGAACCGAACGGTTCAAGGTCCAAATGAGAGTTTCAGTGCAAACTGCAAACTGTTCAAAGGGCTTTAAACGATTTAACAAAAGGAACAAATATTTTTTCGTGCCATTTGGTTCATTCAACAAACGAAATGAACGATTTGACTCGGGAAAAGATTAGTTCATTTTGATGCTCTATGGGGATGCTTGAGTGTGTTAAGCGCCCTCAAAAGAAAGCAATGCAGTCTACACTGGATGCAGAGAGGTGCGAAGCTACACAACACATTACCAACAGTAAACTGATCGCCCGCGCACTCTGTTTCTGACGCACTTCACATTTGGTTTTACTCGCTGCTTCCGCCATGACAACATACAGAGGTAAAAAAAAAAAAAAAAAGTGCCGTATGCCGTAAAGTAGTCGAATTTTGTAGTTCTTTTTGTGCTCGGGTTCCTACCCGCTCCACGAAGTTACAGAGTGCCAGTAAAAGCGATACAGACCACGTTAGGCTATGGCAGACCTGTCATGACCTGTCAAGGGTTTTGGAAAAATATTATAAAGGTTGAAAAAACTACAGAGTGCAGCTTTAAATTTAGAAATTGTGCGTAACACATTGTACTCATTGAACACACTTTATAGTTGTTTGCAGCCCATTCTCACCCCCAAGGCGTCACCTAACTGACGCCTTGGGAAGAATTTGACCATGCTTCAATATCTGACGCTTTAGGCGCCCTTTAGCGTCAGTTAGATAGGATCGCGTGTACCCTACCCCCTACCCCCAGAATGCGTTGTTGTTTGTGCTACTACAATTTGCACATAGGGTAATTCACGTGCGTGTCTCCTTGGTGGAAAAAAACCCCTCTACTCTCCATATAGCTGCAGTAAAACCACGTAAACGAGCATAGAATTGCCATGCATGTGACGGAAACAATTTATGCGCACCTCATTAATCCTGAAACAAAAACCTTTTCATATTCAAAGCTTTCCTCACCATTCTGTGGAAGCTGTTTCGCCATTTGATCATATCCAGGCATGCAAGAGTAAGATCTGTTTGTTCCCAGTTTCATATCTCCACTTAATTGAATTACCCTTACTATGAATTAAGAATTTTAAATGATTAAAATAACCTAGAGCTTAATAAAACATTTTGCATAAATGTCAAACTTAAATTGACATATTTTAATTGTTCTAAATTTATGAATACAAATCAGTTAAACTAGATGATCAATTTCCTTATTCCATTAAGATTTATATATATAGGCTATATTTTATTAAGCTTTTATTTTTGTTATACTCATTTGAAATTCTTAATTCATAATATTAATATGTTCAATAATATCAATTAAAAAGGGTTAAATTTCATCAAGGATATAACTAAATGTTTTCCTTTTTAAATTCAATAAGGAACTCTTTTCTTTTGAACTTTCTATTCAGTTTAGCTGAAACCTCAACAAAAGAGGTCTATAATATCAGATGAATTATTATCAGGATGATAAAGATGAGTCTAGATTAGCTGCAGACAAACCTGATGACCTCAACTAATTAACAAATAGCCTTCATTAGACATCAAATACATAATATGCTCTGTGTCTTTAAGGACTATTCATAACAACATGAACGAAGGAAATAATACTTTCATATTTAATACAGTCAAATGAGAAACACTTTACAACATGCTACACATTTAATAATGACCACACCTGTTAGGAAATATGGTTGTCAATACAAACATTGTGTAAAAAGCCAATTATATAATAAAATTATAAATTTGCTTATGACACTTACGTAAAGACTGTATGGGGCCAATAGTGTCACTGGCTTCACTGACTCCCACTTTACCCACTATCCTGTAGCGGATCATGTACTGCTTTCCAAACTCCAATCCCGTCAGAGTAAAGATTTCATCATCTGTGTTTATGACAATCCACTGTTCCTCAGAGCCAGAATCTGCTTTCACCTGCTGGTACTCCACTCTGTACTGAACGGTTTCTCCAGTTGAGGACTTCTGCAGTTTCAGGGACACACTGTCCTTCAGGACCTTCTTCACTTCTGGTGGGGGAGGCTTCGACACAGGCTGGAACTGTGTGTCTATCAGGTTCCCTGTTTCATACAGATAGATAGAGGAGCCTGGACTGGAGGGATCGGAGATGGCAGAAATAATGAATCGATATCCCTTTTCATCTTTATTATTCTCTGAAAAACTTCTGAAAAGAGATAAGTTCTTTCTCATTTTTGAGACAATAACAGGATCGTTGAACCACTTTGTTATAGATGCTAACATGCTAGACTGTGGTTTCTCCACATTTAGCCCTTCAAACTCAACAGATTCCAGAAAACTCTTCAGAGTTGAGAGATCTGGGTCTTCATACTTCAGAGATGTGAAGGTCAAGCACACCACAACATCAATACTAGGATTAAAGAGGATGGTGTTGAGTTGGTTTGAGTCTTCAGTTCGGATTCCCTTCAGTATCTCAGTGTGAGCACTCAAGAGGTTAAGTTCAGTCTTTGCATGATCTAACCACTGGTTAAGTATGTCAGCATTAAAGGGGGAACTGTAGTGGATCTTCAGGATGTTTTCCAATGAATTTTGCTCCATCTCTCCTCCTCGTATAGCAGGCAATACCTTGGCCACTGCTTTCAGGAGCACCGTTTTGTAAATGTTAACAGAGCGCTGAAATAAAAGGAGCCTCTCTTTGATGTCTTTGAAAACATTTACAATTGGTTTTCTAGACAGGTCGTTGCATGTCCTCTCTGCTTCTCCCAGCTTCTCGATTATATCTTCAGTGCTGAAAACCAGACTTGTGCTAATTTCTCTCTCCAACTGAGCTGCTTTTGTATCCAGTAGAAAAAGTGGATAGAGCCAGACTTTTATTGGAACTGCATTCTGTGGATTCTCCTTCAGTATATTGGGGAGCTTCTTGTACAGCTCTAGGGCCTCCATGTAAGCGGTGGGGTTCTGATCAAGGCGAAAGTCACCATGAAATGTGCAGGTAGTCTTCTCAGCTACTTTCTTTTGACCATCTGTCATTTTCACAGCTCCTTGTCCCTCAATGGAAAATAGAGGGATTTTCTTGACCATGACATTCAGTTCTCCCTCAATCTCCTGCTTTTCTTCCTCTTCTGAAAATGTCCGATCAAACACCATGATGGCCTGAGCTCCATATAGTACACCTGTGACCACATGAGTTGCAGTTTTCTGGTCAAAGACCTGAGGGTAAGTGATCTGACCCAGATGACTCATAGTGAGCTGTTCGAATCTTGTGCTTTCGCTGTAATACATTGTAACTCTGGACTGTTGGTTTGAAGATTTGGTGTTACGCAGGAACATGGCAGATCCTCCCACCTCCACTAGCCCTCCCAAGAAGCTGGCCTTCAAGGAAGCGGTCACATCCAGGAGACTGGACTTACTTGAGAGAGAGTCGGAGCTACTGAACTTCAAATCTGTCCTTGACTGTGGACGACTGTCCAAATCTTCAATCAGTGACTTCTTATCCCACAGAGTGACACCTGAAATGACAAATTACTTTTAGATTTATGTACGAGGAAGTTATGTACTGTTGAAGAAACATGCAGGTTTTAAAGTGTTGTTACACAAGGTTTGGTAACAATTAGTGATTCAATATTTGATGAAGAGGGTAAAATAAACTTTTATTTATTTTAGGTTTGTAAAGCACCTGGAATGAAGGTATCCTTGCGGCAGTCATAAAGCATACCAGGAAACAGAGGTCTTCCTAGAGCTGGCACTTTCATGGTCTGTGATGCCAGGGCTGCAGTAAATAACAATTAAAAGATATCATTTGTATTTAGAATATTTCTCATATCTTGACAAGTTGCCAGCCACTGCCAGTATTTTTGATAATTTTCACAAAAATTTTCATAACCCCCAGAATATTTTGTTGCATGAATATCTCAAACATACAACATTTAAAAAGAAAGAGCACACCCTCTGCTTTAAAAAAAACAAAACAAAAAAGGTTTTAGTCTAGCTTAATGCATTTGTTTTAAAGTAAAAAAAAGCAACAATTCGAGCAAAAAGCTGAGAAAATCGTGTTTTTGTCTAGATCTAGTTCAGAACGATGATCAAAACATAGATGGATAGAGTAAATTGGGTCGACACCCTCATAGCTGGCACAGTCCTATAGCTTGTCGTGGGTCAACTTTTCATTCAGTAACATTTGGCAGTTTTGATTAATGAGATGTTTAATTTTGATGAATTAATGTTTCTGCTTTTTTTCACCTGTGTTTTAATCAGGAGATTCTGTACTCTTTCAGAAGATGCATAATAGTGCCCCCTACATTAAAACAGTGAAAACATGAAAAGCCGAAAATTTCGGTTAATGGCGGGGAAAGGGTTAATAATGAAGAAATCCATTTTAAAAAATAGATGCAAGCAGCAATATGGAGTCTCTTACATCAATCACCACAGCGAGCTGTGTTTGCACCATATATTCAGGCAGATTCTTGTTCCTGCTTTTGGCAGAAACCAAACTGCTCTCCCAGAGGGCAATTTACATTCTGGAGATTTGGAAACATTGTGTCTTGTCCCTGAAAGGTAACAGCTCATAGATTCTGATCTCTCAGCTCAGGATGTTGAGACACTTTTGACTTCCAGAGCTCCCACCACAAGAAAATCGTTTGACCTAAAATTACAGTTCCTTTTAAGGATCTGTGGTCCTGAAAAGTCCTTTCGTCATGCCCATTGCTCTGATCTATTTTTAAACCATATGAAATTGGAAATTATTTTAATGATTTTTTCGTAAATAAAGTTGATAAATTCAGAGAAGAAATGATGTTTGGCAGAACCAGTTTACCAATGTAACGCTCGAATTCACAGAGGATGAAGATTAAGATAATTCCAAGGTTTATTAAACAACAGAAAGAGCCACAACACAAAACAGTAAATCGTTGAGCTCACTGACAGGTCAGGGTGTTATCGTGTGCAAATCGCGGGGGATTAGCGGACGATGAATGCTTGCCAATCTGTTGGTATGAAAGAGCCAACGACGCAGCGAAAACACTCGCCGAGCCCAGAAAAATAACTAGCATGCTATCCAGGGGTGCGTTTCCCGAACGCATCGTTAGCCAACTATGGTCGCAAGTTCCGTCGTTGCCAATAGAGTTCAATGGAAATTGCGATCAACTTGCGACCATAGTTGGCTAACGATGCTTTCGGGAAACGCACCCCAGATTGATATCCAGAGCCGTCGCGCGAGTCAACCTCAGTGATGTCATGAGTACAGCCAATCATAGCAAGGTCACCAGGTAAATATAAGTTTTTCTTATTTTTGCATTTTTTTTTCTCAGAGCAAATCATTGTGCAAATGGTGTGCAGCACTAGTTTCTGTCTGACGTCCATATTCACATGTTGTGTTCTCTTCTTCGCTGGGTATTGGCGTACGTGCTGTTTCTGGTTCGTTTTATTGCGTGGTTTTTCGTGACAAAACGTGGTTTGTAGACAAGATAGAATCGTTGGGTGACAGAGCTGTTGTCAACTCGTTATTTATTTGATTATTTTCAGGATTTAAACCGTACCATAGTACTGAAACAGCTCACAGATGATTTGCTCTTATCATCCGATCGTGGTTGTAGTGTCAACTCGTGTAGTGAGTTACCTCCTGTTGTGTATCAATCATGTTGTGTTGTGTGGTGTGAACAGCTAAAACACTTGAACACTCCTGATTTCACAGAGAGCAAGTCATGTAGTGTGAACCGCACAGTTCAGCCCGACGTTTTAAAATCATGTAGTGTGAACTAGGCATTAGTGCACACACATTAGGAGCAGAGTAGGGAGTAGTGAACACATGTGGATACACACTCGGAGCAGCGGGCAGCCTGTTTGGCGGGAACAATTCCCCTTGGGAGAAGGGACCCTTGCTAAAGGGCACCTTAGTATTTTCCTGCCGGTACTGGAATTGAACCAGCAACCTTTGGGTAACCAGTCCAACTATCTAACCAGGTCATGACAAACCATTGATGACTGGTAGTGTGCAGGTCGGAAACATGAGGGATGCTGTGAAGTGTAGTACCGTAGAGGTGTGACAGCCAGTGGTGTAACTTTGTTTTAAAATGTGGGTGGGACAGGTAACGTTAGGTGTGTGTGTGGTAAATTGTATAAAATAGTACATTGTACAACATTAGCTAGAGAACACAGAAGTTTTGTGAGGGAGGCAAAAGATTTGAAAAATATATATTTTTTCTCCCATAAATTTTTGCACCACCATGTCCATTTAGGGGCTCCATACTTTTCATACAATATAAAGATAATAAAAAGCACAAAGCACATTTACCCTTTCTCTAGGGTACTGTATACAACACTGTTGCTCCAAAAACAAACTCAGACCCTGTTATAACATTAAAATCACCATTTGCTGTGTCCCCTGGTTGATTGCATTTTATCTTTACAGAAATCAAACAAGTTTTACTCTGCATGCTATTAACCAAAATGATCTGGTCATTGATGATGCGAAATTGATCATTTTCTCACTTGCACATGGTCCCTCAATGGATGTCTTCCATTCTCCTTTTTCACAGTTTAATCTATACATTACACAGCTCAGCTTCACTGTTTCACCATAATCCTATAACATTTTCGACATAACTTTGTACATTAAATTCTGAGGCACTTGCAAAACTAGTCAACACTCTCTAAAGCTACAGTCTGGTAAAATAACATGTATATTCAAGTCAATAAAATCTAAATTAAAAAGACATTCAAATAAATAACAAAAACAACAACAACAAAAAATCACTTGCCTTGACTTTGGGCAAAATTTAAGGAAAACAACCAAAAGACGAAGCCGAGGAGTTTTACAGGAGCTCTCATTTTGATCTCAATTCAGATCTCAATTTTTGATCTCTGATACTCTTGTCTGCTTTGGGATCAACAAGTTAATCATTTACCAAAGTCAAAGAGAGGTTTTCATTACACCAGACCACACTGTGCACAAACAATGTTTAATATAATTGAAACAACAAGAAATCTTGTCTAATGCAGCAATTCTTATTTGCCATTTAAACACACCAAAATAATAACTTACTTTAGAGAAGTAAAAAAATTCTTGCTGTCATAGTTACAGTTTTCAACACACGAACACCAAAACATGCCATGTTCATCTCTGAACTCAATTTGTTAATGTTTTTTACTGGCTCATGTTCTTCTTGAATCAAATCATAAAGTACATTATGGTGAACAAATCTGTCCCATAAAGCATAACGAGTGAGATTGAAGAAGATTCACAACACTTTTGAACTTTTAAACCTTGCAAAAGTACAGACAAATGTATATGTAACTGCAATTGCAAAGAATTAAGCAATCTATTGAACTGAAGAAAAAAAAAAGAGATCCAAAAGAAGAGTTTGAGCCTGTAAGTATTCGTCTGACTCCTTATCTCACATTACAAAGAAAAAAAAAACTGGATGTCATTTACTGGATCTTACTTACTGGACCTTTTTGGTAAACACTGAAAATTGTTAAACTCAAGGTCTTTAACTTTGTTTGCAAATGGTTGTCATGTGATAACAGATATACGTGTCCCCCCCAATAAATATCGAAAAAAGAGATCTTAACCTTCAGAAAGTGCTGACTGACCATAAATGTCAAACTAAATATTATAAGAAGTTTATAATTTAGGTTCTGAGGTTTGTGATTATGCAACCCTGTTATCAGAATTTGAGATGTGAGAATATTAAAAACCTTGAATTAATAACATAAACATAACATTACTCTGTCAGGCTCTAGCATGACGGCATAACATAACTCTAACACAACTCTCGCATAACTCTAGCACAACTAACTCTGAGGCTTTTTTCGGGTCTAAGTTTTTTAACTCAAATGTTTGTCCAGCCTCCTGGATGGGTTCTGACCAATTAGACACGTCATTATTTGAGAGGTGGTATTTCCTTCAGCTCTCATCGTAAATCATGCGTTATCTGTGATCCCTTTACTCTCCAGCTTTAGCAGAGAGACTATACATTTTGACATGACTATTATAAGAACACATTTTACACAGATTTCACTCAAGCCATTTTCTGAATTAAGAATCTTACTGATAGGAAACACAATACACTTTCATTCACACATCTAATAGTTATAACAATTATATGACTTATGATCTAAGCATAATAGACACAATATGCAGAATTCTGGATATCGTAAACCTTCCACCGCCATGCAGAGAAAAACTCTTCGATAGGGTTTAGAAATTGAGAGTATGGTGTGTAGTGAACTTTTTCTTCCAAAGTGGAGAAAAATCCGAAGCACAGACCAGGAGACGTTGAGGTATTTTTCATGCAGAAATTCTTTATTGCGTCGCTGCAGTCATCTCAAAAATCGTCTATAACTAAAACTAAAATACAGAACTGTTCTGATACGTTTCAAGGGGGAGGAATTACATTGAGGAGGGGACTCTTGAAACAAAGCAAATGTAAATGCAAGATTCAGCTGGTTACTGGAAATTCCTCAGCCCTGATATCATCAGCATAGCAGTTATTCGGAGCCTGACTAGATTGGTCAAACCTTTACAGTCTCAGTAGCCATCAAGAGTTTCAGCAATCTGAAAGCAGTATTAGCCAGAAATCACCCCCCTCCTCACCTTTTAATATCATTTAATAAATGTGTATTCCTTCAGTTGTTTTAAATGTATAATGTAGAGAACTGTTTAGAGTTCTTACAAATGCAAACTGAGTATAAAGCATATAGTGAGTTTGCAGTTTTGCAGACTTGGTCTGAAGATCCGGTACATGAGTAAATGAGTTTCATTGAGTTGAGTCAGTGAATGAGTTTCACTGAGCGGGCTTTAAGTTACACTTCAGTGTGTAAGGAGTTAAAAAAACAAATCTGTAACATCTTTCATATTACTGTAACATTAGCAAGAAAATTGAAGCATTAAGCAAGTGTATGCGTGTATGTGTGTGTTGCTCTGCAGCAGTGTGTCTGTCCATCTTCATTCAGATCTGTGGGATGATAATAAATGCAGTTACTTGTGGACATATTGATTTTAATCAGTTTATACTTCATTACAGGATGTTTTTGCACTGCAAAATAAACTCTGAAAGCAGAACATTTTTTGTGAAATCAAATGTAGTTAGTACATTATCAAAATGTTTAATAGTTTTTACCTCGGTGTTTTACTCCCACTTTTTCAATTTATGTCTTAATGACCTGAAAAAGGAAAAATTCATTTAAATTTCAATAATATCAATAAAAAATGGTTCCATGTTTTTTATTCAATAAGGATGCATTAAATTGACCAAAAGTGACAGTAAAGAGATTTCTGAGGGTTCAAAACATTTTCTATTTTAAATAAACTCTGTTCTTTTGAAGTTTCTATTTAGTTTAGCTGTCCGTAATATAAAACATAAAACCTCAACATAAGTAGATTATTCATTATTATCAGGATGATAAAGTTAACTTATTAACAATGAAAATACACAAACACAGAAATAGTGTAATATACAATACATTATTGACTTATGTAAAATGTGGCCAACATTTCAGAGACGGATCACAACATGATTTTTGCTTTGCTGTGAGGAAATTGTATATGTTAAATAATACTGTATCATTAATATTTGCACATACCAGCACACAGTGGGTTTGGTGTCCATCCGTCTTGTGTGCATGTGGCCTCTACTGACATTTGATCAAATCCAGGCATGCATTCGTACAATAGTTTTACTCCTAATTTCAGATCATTGAAGTAAATATCTGGTCTATACACATGCGGGTCATCTGGAACTTTACATCTTATTTCTGAAACAAGATTTACATTATTATACAGTAATAACATGCAATAAGTTCAGCACAAAATTCTGAAGTGTTTCTCTATAATCTTACAGTAAACTCAAAACAATTTTAAGCCATTTTTCAAGATTTAGGCATTTCAATTAATAGTAAAATTCCTTCAAATTCAATTGAAAACTCCTAACATATTATTCAAATTGTGAATTAAGATTTGTACATGATTATAAAAACCTGATAAATATTAATAAAACATTTTCTATAAATCTTAAACTTATTTTTCTTTTCATTTTTAAATGTATGAATCACATAAACTAAATGATCCATTTTCTTATTCCATTAATATTTATACAAAATGTTTTATTAAGCTTTATTTTTTTTCTACTCGTTTAACATTCTTTATTCACAATATGAATAATATCTTCAATGTCAATTTAAATAGTTATTAAAGTTAAATCATTTTCACAATCTGTAACATTAAACTGAGCACAGTACAAACTGAGTTATCATTGTGAAGATATATAATGACTTGAATATCGAAAGTTATATCTGTAAAATACAAAATACATTACTGTATCATACCATTTATCATACCAGTGCATTCCTGTATGCCTGTCCATTGATTCTGGGAAGTACAGGTGATTTGTACAGGCTGTTCTGGTTCAAACCCAGGATTACATTTATATTGTATTCTTGAATTGATGTTGTATTTTGTTCTCTGATCTCCCAAAATCTCTGCATTTGGGATGATTGGTGCTGCACACGTGTTTACTGTAAACAAATATCCATCATTAATTAGAATTCATAATTATGATAATGATTCATTTGCATAAAGTGTATCATTAATATTTGCACATACCAGCACACAGTGGGTTTGGTGTCCATCCGTCTCGTGTGCATGTGGCCTCTGCTGACATTTGATCATATCCAGACATGCAATAGTAAGATATTCTTGCTCCCAACTTCTTATCTCCACTGAAGTAAGATTCTGGCAAATACACATGCTGGTCACGTGGAACTTCACATCTAATTTCTGAAACAAGATTTACATTATTTTAATAACATGCAGTTCAGCAATAAATGCAGAAGTGTTTCTCTATAATCTTACCCGCACACACAGGCTCATGATCCCACTGTCCATTCTCTCCACATGTAAATGATTGGATGATTTCTTTTGTTCGAAAGATCCAGTATCTTTCAGTGCAGGTGATCTCCACACTTTCTCCAGCTTTGAAAATAGTTTTTCCCTCCGGGTTGATCCTTTTTATTCCAAATCTGGTTGGCTTAAGCTCACAAGTTACTTCAGTACAAGACATAATTATATAGAAATAAGGGTAAGAAGAGATGAAGCATCAAAAATTCCTTTTTTTCAATATCTACAAAACAAAATTTTATCCGAAATTAGCCAGATTTAAGTTGAGTCAGATTCAATCTTTTAAATTGTACTCAATAGTTTTGGATAAATTCAGGTTTGTTCATTATAAACTTTCCTTAATAAGTTGCGTTAGTATTTATAATTTTGCAAATTCACTGAGGATTAATGTGAACACTTTTGAAAGCCAATTGGCAAGCAGATGAGAAGACTGCTGGTTGTGAAGGACCTATCGCACAATTTCACTAAAACACTAATTTGATTCTTGAAAACATTTGGACGAAAAAACTGTTGCATTGGATTGTTGCTTATGTAGAATATGCCCACAATTTCAGAGACAGATCACGACAAGATTTTTGCTTTACTGTGAGAAAATTATTTATGTTAAATCATTTGCACAAACTGTATTATTAATATGAGCACATACCAGCACACAGTGGGTTTGGTGTCCATCCGTCTCGTGTGCATGTGGCCTTGAACATTTGATCATATCTAGGCATGCAATAGTAAGATATTCTTGCTCCCAATTTCTTATCTCCACTGAAGTAATATTCTGGCAAATACACATGCTGGTCACGTGGAACTTCACATCTAATTTCTGAAACAAGATTTACATTATTTTACAGTAACAACATGCAATAAGTTCAGTATGAAATTTTGAAGTGTTTCTCTTACATTCAAAACAATTTTAAGCCATTTTTCAAGATTTAATGCATTTCAATTAGTAAAATTCCATCAAATC